ATGTGGGAAGAAAGATCAATGACTTTGGAAAGAATATGCACTAAATACATTGTTTCAGGTAAATTGTGAGCAGGAACATAACACTTTCAAAAATAACATGAAGCTGAGTAATTTGTTTACAGCTGGACTGTCTTCTTTGACACTTCGGTATTGCAATTTTTTTTTTTTTTTTTTTTTTTTTTTTTTTTTAGTACTTGAAGCTACACTCTATATATCGTTATTCAGACAAAGGAAATCAGGTAAATATTTTCCTTCAAAGTCATCAATATGACTGGAGAGAATAAAATAACTCATCTTCCTGAGAGTGCTTTCTGCTGGGAATGGGAGCTTCTACATAGTCTTACATGGTGATTTATAGCTGCAGTGAATTGTCCCAATGGACTATACACTTATCATAATAACTAATATGAAAAATACCTTAATCGTGGCCTTAGAAGTCACAGTAATAAAATGAAGGATAGACTTCTGGCTCATAACAGAATAATATTACAGTACATTTTTATAAAGTGCCCTTATTTATCCTTCTGTAAATTAATTCAAATGCAGCAATAAAAATAATTGAATGGAACTTAATGAAATGAGAAACAGTTACACCTTTACATCTCCACAAAAGGATTCTTCTGAGCCCAGCACTAAAGCTCAGAGCCTTTTGAAAGATAATTACAGAAGTGAATGTCAGAGGTGAGGTTTAATACTGCCTATGGTTTTGGGGATTTGTGCGATTGCTGCTGTGTTGCTACAACAAGGCTGCAACAACACAAGTGAAGGCAAGGAAGCAAAGAAAATCCGGGCAATTGCCAGAATAAATTTATTCAAACACTGTCGCTGCAGCTTCTCAGATGAACAGTCTGCTCTTCTGAGTATCTACTGCTGGAAAACTAATGACCCTGGGAGTGATGGAAAACAAATCAGATATCTGTATTACTCATATGCTTTAAAGTGGCACAAAGTTTGGAATTCCATGTGCTTTGAGAAAGAAATAGAGATCAGCTGTATCTGAGGGGAGAAATGGAAAAAACTGTAATGATAGTGATCCTTATTTTTGTGCTGAATTTTAAATTCACTGGTGGACTCATAGCATAGAAAAAATTAGGCAAAAAAGAAGCATCTTGGCAGGAATCTTTTGGATGTGAGAATCAAGGTCATTATAAATAGCAGGAAAAGACTATTGCCTAGGATGGGATTGTGAAATGTCTTACAACTTAATGGAGGCAGGAAGGGACTTGACCTTTCCTGGAAGCCCATGACTCCCATAGATTTCAGTGGGGCTTTCATGTAGTGAGAGCATTGCAGGCACAGGTTTTACTACAGCAAACACAGGTTTTCAAAGACGTACTGAGTTTCTCACCAATTCAAATAGAAGGAGCACATCCCAAAATATTGTTCAAATAGCTTATTTCCTACCTATTTGAAGCACCTTCCTGTACAAGACCCACGCATGTTTCTAACAACGCTGGTGCAGCCTTTGTCTTCTAAAGGAAGCAGTGAAGAAACAAATTCAGTAGCAAAGTGCTCCACCTCTTCTGTAATTTTAACGTACAGTGTGCTTTAGTTTCAATGAACAGATACTAAGAGAATGCCGACCTAGCTTCAGCAGTAAATGCATCAAGCCAATGCACAAGCATGTACATAATTAAACATGCAATTAGCTGAATCTTTGCCTGGTCTAGACTCTTCCATGTGCCAGTGTGCTGTCAGCAATCCAAAGGGCAAAGGATATCACAGTTGCACAGACAAGGGTGGGGGGAACTGGCAGAGCAGCAAGTGAGATTAATGTAGAAAAAAAATGTCAAATTTGTTTAGTAACTACACAGAAAACTAATCACTTTCCACTGTGTGTTTCCTTTAAGTGTGCCACCCCAGCACTGTGAACAAATACAAAAGATTTGCCAGATGCAAAATGCATCAACACTCCTAGTGAAACTAAAGAGACTGGCCAGTAACCAGCATTGCCTGCTGAAATGTGAACCTTGTATTACTTGAAGTGGCCGGTCCCTGGGTTATTTTCTGTTTATTTAGTTAAGTAGCAACCTAGCCTCATGTGGAATGAGCAAATCGAGAAATGCAAGCCAAGAGTGAGTTACATTTTCCCAGACAAATAGAAAGCTTTTTGATGGTTAAATACAGTGCTGCACTGGAATAACACTATGTTAAATATTCAGTCAGGCTAAAAGCAGAGGAGTATACCAAAACCAACATTCCTCCTTCTCCCACATCCACATTTATATAGAGAAATACCATTGTAATTATCTTTTGAAACGTCCCTGAGTTACTGTATCTACAGAATTACTATTTTAAAATCACAGTCTGCTATTCTAGTCCTATCAAAAGACCCAAATTTATTCTCCCTTACGTGGGTGGGGTTTCTCTAGCATCTCATTCCTTCCTCGCCTAGTCTCCATCCAAAGAAGCACTGTTCAAAGGACAATACGTCCCAAGTGGGTAAGTGTAAGCATATTCTAAGTGTTTCTCAATTTATAATTTTGTGGAGCTGCCTAGTCACATGTTGCTGGCATTCCTATTTGTTTCCAGCTGCTAAACAGTTTCAAATGACAGCTAGAAGCGTATGGACCTGTTTTGTAAAGCTACTTTCAAGGCAAGCAATCGGTGCTACAGCGAAGAGGATGGAAAGTCATCTATTAATGGGCAAGCTGTGCCATGAAACAGCTCAGGAATGCTGGGTATAAACCAGGATAAACATTATGTGTTATTCTGGGATATAACTACCACCCAAGTCACAGCAAATTTCACTTAATGTGAGCCAGCACCCTCAGAGTAGGGAACGTTTTAGAGCACCCACACACCGTTCCAGGCACATTTCTGGCACATAACCCAGTGATAAAAATGTATTTGAATGCAAACTGGGAGAAGCAGTAGCTAGCTATAGGTTAACTCTGGATATGCTAATATCAATGACTGAAGAAAAGAGAAGACAACCTGCCTACCACTTTTCTGAATATCCTACAATTCCACCCTTCACAAAAAAAAAAAACCCTTAAAATGCTTCAGGAGGCCTCTGGAAAAGGTCTCCACCTCTAATACATGTTAGAGGCCTACAGAATTCACAGCGGTTCCACATTTTTTAAATTATATATGCAATTTTGCTTAGGATTGTAGCCAGGGCATGCAAGTGAGGCCAAAAGTACAATGGCAAGAAAAATATTCCACAACAACATATGCTTACATGAAGGATACTCTGACAATGGAGTTGATCTTGCACATCATTAATCATACAAGTAGCCTTGGCTGGCTCAGGTCCGTGTGCTTTTTCAGAGATATTTATATGAATGCAGATGAGCAAAAGCAGATCATATTTATGTTTTAATAGTTTCTACAGAGCCAAATACCACTCTACAGTTAAACACATTATTCCTGTTTAAACCCATGACACATCTGAGCACAGAGACCGAATGACCTATTTCTGTAAATGTTTCAACTCTGTTTTCTGCCATTTTTAAGTTCACCGTATGCTCATATTCTGATTCATTCTGAGAACCTCAGAGAACCTATGTGGCTCAGCTTTGCTATACAACATTGCTAATAGTATAATGGCAATCACCAGTGTCTTAAAATTGCTGACTATTAACAAGCAGCTTTAAAAACACTGCACAAGGTGATTATTGTGACTAATTTCTTCTGACAGGATGAGTCGGCTATACTATGTTGACAAAACACCATCTCGTTAATTCAGATGCCATGTGGTCTAAAGAAACATTTATCTGATATTAGAGAGTTACATGAATTGTTACTCTGCAAAAGAGAGAGAAATGTACATTCAATGTACTGGTCTAAATCCTGAAATTCTGGTTTATTCTTCATTCAGTCCTAACCCTGGCCAAATTCTATTAACCTTATATGGAATTTGTCTTAGCAATGAATCCAGGATTTAGCCATTCTCTGAAATGTAACATACGCTTGAAAGAAGGCTTTTACTTCATACCAAATGTTACTCATGATCACATTCAAAACCTCCCAGTTTCTTAGAGTAATGGATTCAGAATTTGTTTATAGCTCATTATCAAGTACCCAATCATGACATCCGTGATCAATCTTAGTATTACTTTATTTAAGTAGTCCCATCCACATGAGGTATCCCTCTGATATCAGTCGAGCAGGGTGAATTGTAAGGTGCTACCTATTTTGATCAAGAATAACTTTGATTAAGCATAACTGAGCCCATAGTATTCTGTATTTTGTACGTCAGGCATACATTTAGTGAAGGAGCTAGCACCCCTGCAATAATACTGCCTTATATTATATGATGCATTGTGGTCACAAAGCAGCACAGCCCCATCATAAAATAAAGGCTGCATCTGCCCTGGGACAGCTGATAAAAACGTATCACATGCACATACAAATCTAAGGTCTTGTCTTGATGGTAAGTATTAGTTGTACTGATCTAACAAAATGTCTGGGATAATTTATTGACTTCTATAACTTAATCTTGGCCCTGGATCCAAGTTCAGTTTAAAGGACAACTAGGCACAAAAATACAGTGCTTGTTATTATTAAAACAAATAAAAATCTTTATGGACATTTCCAGAGATATTTTAGCCATACAGTGCTAAATAGATCAGGTATGCCACAAGAGCCACCAAAACACTCAAAGGTTTATGTGGTATTAGGATTCTCTTGTATTTGTGACCCTGAGTCCCTGTAGTGAACCGTACTGGCACTTTGATCTTCCCGTTTTGCAGCATTTACATTCTCTGTGTCTTGAATGAAAGGGGAGGCGGGTGAGAGCACATTGCATTGCATGGAGTACTCTCCAGTTGCATCATCGAAAGAGTAACACAAAGGAGACAGGTGGTTATGGATCATTGCTTGGCAAAGACACTACAATGGCTTGATGAGATCTTTGCTAAGTTTCAGTTAAGAGATTAAGTAAGCAGAAACTGTTCATGTTAAACAGAAAAAAGAGAAATCTTCTTTAATCATGATATCGTTTGCCAGAAGATAGCTTCAGGGCTTATTAAAGATGGAACTAGGAATCTTTTCCCTTAGTTGTCACATTTCCAAGGCTCCTCTTCAACAACGCTGAAGTCTGCAGATTTGCCATTGGTTGCCATTGTTACCTGCAAGTAATTATCATCAACAACCGACTTAAAGGCCAAGGCACTTTGACAAGAAAAGTCATGAGTTTTATATGGAAGATAATGATATTTACAGGAATTACATACACCATATCTTATTATATATGTAAAATGTATTTATTCAGAATTCACAATGCTCCCAAATAGTGAGACTCCTGTTCATTTATTATACTGACTAGAAAACATTAGCAGTAGGAAAAAAGTTCCATATTTTCTTAGCCTTTGCTGTAGTTTTTTTTAAAATAAATATTTCAGATTCTACTCCTTTCTATCTCCTATAGATTTCTCTGCATTATTTCAAAAACAGATTACTTTTTTTTAATGTAGAAATTAATATTTTTTCAGTGGAATTCCTTAGCAAAGCAGGATAGCTGATGCAAGGACATGAAAAATATGCAAGGCCAGAATAATCATAGATGTGTATCTATAAGAACTCACCTACAATTACACCACCTTTAAAGAAATGCAGGAAAAGATACACTGTGGAAATATTGTTCATCTTACCACTATTGCTAACAATGTAGTGAAAGATTTTGACTGTAGTCAGACCAAAAATTCATAGTAATACTATGTTTGTCTCACACAAAGTACAGCAAAACATCACTCTTGCCTGTAAAGATAACATGCTAAAATTTTTAGGTTTTAAGTATGGTAGAAGACCTGTACTGATCTACCAACTCACAGTAAACACTGGCCAGTACGTTTCCCAGAAATCACCATAAACAAACCCATGCTTCAAGAAAGATAGCTCCAGCCAAATGACTTAAAAAATTTAAAAAAGGTAAAATGTCAGTTTAACTTTACAACAGTGATCTAGATCTTTATAACTGTGAGAGAACCTTTCATTTAATTCTAAATGGGTGGCTCACTCTTTTCTAACTT